TTTCCCTGGGGTATCACCGGGTGCTTTTTATCTATAAAGCCTTCTTGGTGTAATTTAAAAAGTGTATTCGTTACAACCATATCCGTCTCTTGGCAGAATTGGATCAGTCTTTCTCCTCTTTCTTTTCTTACGCCAAGACTATTTGAGTCCTCCTATATTATGAGTCTCAAAATTTTATATTTTGGTCCCTTCATTACGTGACCTAGGTAATCCAATTTTCTGGTTTGTATAGTAGTGATTAGTTCTGTTTCTTTACCTATCGTCTTCAGTACTTCTTTATTTGTAATTCTATTAGTCCGTGAAATTTTTATGTCTCTTGGTATAACTAGAGATTTTTTATATTTGAATTGTCTTAACGATTTTATTGTCAATGTGCTTATTCATAAATATTGAGATTCGTTTACTTTATGACTTATTCTATCGAAAACTTTTTGGTAATCAATGAAGCACAAGTGTAGGTCAACGTTTACATCCCGACAACGTTAAATTAGTTGTTGATGGCAAATAGTCCTACTCAAGCACCCATTCCATTTTGGAATCCAAACTGTGTCTCACGTATATCCTCCTTTAACTTTTTATAGATTCTCTTAAGCAGTACTTTTAACGGATGACTCATGAGGTTCAGTGTTCGATAGTCAGAGCACCATTTTGCCGCTTGTTTGTTAGGGATATTTATAAACTGGGTTGTATTGAACAAATCTGCAAATGATCATCTGCAAGAAACGCTACTTTAAAAGATGGAGCGAAGTTGATGTCAGAACCGTTGACAAATACCTAATCCCCGAATGAATAAAAATTCATAATTCATTATATCTGTCGCGATATAAATGAAAAATATTGTGAATTTTATATAAATAAAACGTCTAAATATTTGATATGTTTAATGTTTTAAAGGATTATATCGTTTGGTTTGTAACAGCTCATCGATAACAGTGACAGACTAATCTCTTAACAAACATTGAATTTAGATAACTGACTTATTAGAAATTGTTTTTTATATAACGTGTTTTCACAAATATATTATTACTACTCGCAGCTGATTAATGGCATGTTTACCCAAAACTTTTATTTTTTTTATTCCCCAATCGATTTTTTCATCGAATAGAAGAATAAGCCATTTTTTTTATCTCATGTTTTATCACTAGTCGTTCTTATTATATAACTATATAATATATAGTTTCATTATCTTCATTATTCTCAGCGTATTCTACTGATTATGGTGCAGCCTCCCTTACATAGTCGTTCTTAATGTCTGCCCACGATTGTCTTATATTCGCCTTTTGTGCCATTTTGTATCGCTTTGTTTCCTTATGCCATAGTCCCATCTTAAATTTGGACATCTTCTTGGTCTCTTGACGCCACTTGGTCTCTTCTGCGGAAACTCGGAAGTAGCAACCCACCCGTTCGCCAAACCAACCTAGTAACTCCAGACCAAATAGCTACACACATAGTGTCAACCTCTAGGGCACATCAAAACCGTTTACATACAATTAAAGTTAAAAAAGACCTCAAAACCATAAAATCTAGTCTTGCACAGTCAACAGAATATTCCAACCCATTTACGTATGAAGAAATATCGCAAGCCCTAAATGAAATGAAAACAGCACAAGCGCCGGGTTTCGACGCCATTCACGCTGAGTTCCTCAAACATAACGGCAAATTCACTAGGCAATGGCTCGCAGAATTCTTTTCTGACATCCTTCAAACGGGAAACGTCCCCCACCAACTAAAAAATGCAAAAATCGTCGCCATTTTAAAACCAGGGAAAAGTAATAATTCACCGAAAAACTACCGCCCCATCGCACTCTTAAGTATGGTGTACAAATTGTTCGAAAGACTGTTGTATAATAGAATCAGCAAAACCATATTTCAACACTTACCAATGGAACAGGCAAGATTTCGGCCAAACCGCAGCTGCACAGACCAGGTACTCGCCCTGACCAATTATGTGGAATCAAACTTTCAAAAGCAATCAAAAACAACCGCTGTCTTCATCGATCTATCTGCTGCTTATGACACTGTGTGGCGACAAGGGGCAATATATAAATTAATGCGAATAATCCTATGCAGAAAGACCACTGAGGTTATTAGCGCCATGCTATCCAACAGATGCTTTAAAGTTATATTGGGAGACAAGACTAGTACCCAAAGAAAACTGAATAATGGACTTTTACAAGGATCCGTGCTGGCTCCCATGCTTTTCAGCCTCTACATAGCAGACATGCCAGAAATCACATCAAAAAAGTTTGGATACGCAGACGACTGGACGCTTGCCGCAAGTCATAAAGAATTCGAGGTCACTGAACGCATTCTAACAAACGATTTAAATGCCCTAGGGAATTGTTTCCGCAAATGGAGATTGCAACCCAATCCAACTAAGTGTCCTGCTTCCATTTATAAAACAAGATGCCCAACTATCAACCTCAAATCAATTTTGGGGATAGATTCCTTAAATATAATAAACACCCAAAATACTTAGGTGTTACACTTGATAGACGCTGAACTTTAAAGAGCATCTTACTAAGACTGCTGCAAAACTCCGAACTCGTAACAACATTCTGCAAAAGCTCTGCGGCACTACATGGGGCTCCTCAGCACCCACACTTAGATCGACAGCATTAGGACTGGTATACCCGTAGCGGAATACTGTGCACCAGTATGGATAAACAGTCCACATACTCACCGTGTTGATGTCCAACTCAACCAAGCCATGCGAACTATATCGGGCACAATCAAGGCCATGCCCACTTACTGGTTACCAGCTTTGAGTCCTATAGCTCCACCACCCATCCGCCGGGAACATACCCTTGTCAGAGAATTTACAAAAATCAATACTGATCCTGAGCTCCGCTTCCATGTCGGAACTTCCGCCAGAGACATAAATAGGCTCCGTTCAAGACACCCGCCTCTAAAAACAGCAAAAAGGCTAGTAGATCAAAACTTTAATGTAACTGAACGGTAGAGAGAACAATGGGAGAATAACGCTTCACCAGCTAATTGTAACATGCCATGTATTACAAGCAAACCTGAGGGCTTCAACCAACCGAGACGAATTTGGACCACACTCAATAGAATAAGGACGAACTGTGGCAGATGTTCCGACTTACTTTTTAGATGGGGAAAAATACAATCACCAAATTGCGACTGCGGCGCCGAAAGGCAAACAGTAAAACACATGGTAGAGGAATGCCCGATTAGATCCTATAATGGCAAATCTTGACGCCACAGTATAATTCTATTGTGGACTATCTATTGTCAGTTCTTCTCGCTAAATGTCCCGCCCATTGTCATTTTAAAGATTTAATTCTGTGTCTCATATTAGGAAGGTGTCTCATAATAGGATCCTTAACCTTCAAGTTGTAGTCGAAGGATAAACTAAAGAGATTATTTTCTTACTTGCGGTTTATTCCCAACAGTAAATTTGATAAAATCTGATACACTTAAAGGAAACAGTAAGAAAATATCAAAGAACCAGCACACTTTTCCATATTCTTATCTGTGGCATTTTCTCCCAACATTTGGATATACTAAAAACTCGCAGAAATGGTTTATGTTAGCTTGTGATTATAATACTTTGTATTGCAATTGTAGATAGCTCAGGGATAAATCGGCTTCTTCTTCTTGTAGTTCTTTCTCCGATCAGAGGTTGGCTATCATCACAGTTATCCGTACCTTATTGGCGTCTGCTCTAAAAAGATCTACTGAGCTGCATTTAAACCACTCTCTTGGGTTTCTCAGCCAGGAAACTCTTCGTCTTGCTATGGATCTTTTACCCTTGATTTTATCTTGTATTATAAGCCTTAATATCTTATATTTCGCACCTCTGGTAATGTGGCCTAAATATAGTTTTGACGTGCTTTATGACCTCGCAATCCTTTTGTAGCCTTTATAACACTTTTGCATTTGTAAGTCGTTGGTTCCATGGTATTTTCAAAATCCTTCTATAGCACCACATCTCAAATGATTCCAACTTCTTTATATTATCCACTTCTAATGTCCAGCTTTTCATTCCATACAACAAAGTCGAGAACATGTAGCATCTTAAGGCTCTTATCCTCAGAACCAGAGGATGGTCTCGATTGACAAAAATTGTTTTCATTTTTATAAGTGCTTGTCTTGCAATTTTATTGCGTGTCCTTATTTCTCTACCTTGGTCATTGTTTTCATTTACCTAGGTTCCCAGATATTTTTAATTATTCATTCTTTCTACTTGTTTTCCCTCTATATCTAGCCTTCCTACTGTATGTTGCTTAGAAATAATCATGAACTTGGTTTTCTTAACGTTCATTTATAGTCTATATTTATACTGACTTGATGTAATCTATTTACTAAGCGTTGCAATGCTTCTAGACTGTCTGCAAAAACAGCGGTGTCGTCTGCGAATCTTATGTTGTTTAAGATTGTTTACAGTACAGATTGACAATAACCCGTATATCTCGACTATCCACATTCTTTTCTTTTAACAGTCTTACGAGTTTTTGATGTACTCTATCAAAAGCCTTTTGATAATCTATAAAGCAGACATAGAGATCCTGGTTCATATCTAGTCGTCTTTGCGCGAGAACGTTAAAAGCGAACAGAGCCTCTCTCATTCCTAGTCCTTGTCTGAATCCAAACTGGGTGTCATCTATATCTTCTTCTATTTTTTTTGTATAGTCTTCTATGTATTGTTTTGAGAAATATTTTAAGTGTGTGGCTTATTAAGAAAATTATTCTGTATTGGGAGCATTATGTCGCATTTACTGACTTTGGTAGTGTTACAAACGTGGACAGCAACCAATCATGGAGTATTACTCCTGTTGTATATAAGCGAAATGCTTTTTGTGAATAAGCGAAAATTATTTCAAGGACGTTTTCGGAAGGTAAATGGCGAAACCTTAACGCTCTCGGTGGTTTTGAGATCAAACAATATATTTGAATTATTAAGTGTTTATTTATTTTATATTATTTATAAACCATAAAATCGTACTCCTTACCTATTATTTGTTTGTAATTTCCAGCAATGCATAAAGTTTAAAGGAGGTTACTATCCAGGCCCATATGGACACTGCTGCGGTGATTGCTCAGGATTTGACCGCTACCCTTGTGATAATTATCGTGGAGGATGCAATTGCCCAATACCTATCGTTTTGTCACCTACAGTTGGATTACTTACTAAGCTAAAAGCTAAGTTTTTGTCCAAAATTTGCGATGGAGGTTGGGATGACTGTGATTGTGGTTGCGGCGGATACTACGGCAACCCGTGGATGAGAAAATTCGGAAAATTTGGGGGTTGTTGTTAACTGTTCTGTGATAAAATGTAAAATCGGTTCGGTAATATAGTATTAAGAGAACTCTTTTACTTTTATTTTTCCAACTAGTTAGATTCCTACTATAAAAATTTGCAATACATTTAAAATTGCTGTTACACCTTTTATAATAGTTTGTATTTGGTATTAGTTTAAACAATATGATAAACATTTAAAATATTAATTCTGTACAAATTTAATAAATAGAAATTGTAAAAATGCCTACTTTAACAGTAGGGCTAAAAATAACCGAAATGAATATTCATGTATCAGCTAAGATATTAAATAACAACAATAATATCATCATATTGAAATTAATTCTTTGGTGCTCTTTACAGCAATGCTTCAAGCTAGAACCCTTCTATCCAGGCGCCTGTGGCAATTGCGGCTGTAATCGTTATCATGATGGTTGCGGTGGTTCCTATTGGGATTCTGGATGTGATTCCTGCTGCGATTCTAAGGACACAATTAATATTCACTTGTCACCAATAATAGGAAAATTCGATAAATTTGATAAATTGAAATCTAAACTGTGTTGTAAACTCGGTGGAGATGGTTGCGGATGTGATGGCTTTGGTTATGGAGATTGTGGATATGGAGGTTATGGGTATGGAGGATGTGGAGGATGCGGAGGATGTGGAGGATGTGGAGGATGTGGAGGATGTGGAGGATGTGGAGGATGTGGTTATGATGGATATGGTCATGGAGGATGTGGAGGATGCGGAGGATGTGGAGGATGCGGAGGATGTGGAGGATGCGGAGGATGTGGAGGATGTGGAGGATGTGGCAAAAAAGGAAAATGGCTACACAGTCCCTTTTTATGGAACAAAATTTATAAAATTAATAAATATGGATGCTTGTAATTTTTTTGAATATTTAAATGTATTGCATTATAAAATATGTTAAATATTTTTATTTTGTTTTTGTTTCCTTATTATAATCTTCTTATTATTATTATGTAGTATAATTACCTTATGATAATTCTGTATGTTTCTGTTTATTTGGGTTATGCCTTTATGTTATATTGTCATTCCATCTTTTACAAAGTCGGCGTAAATTTTTAACCCAACTGCGATTTGTTTCTTGTTGTCTTGATTACCTTATCGTCTGTTATTCTGCTTCCATGATTGTTCTATTCTCTCTTTCTATTAAGTATACCGTCTGCTCCAAACTGCTCGGCATCTTTTGAATAGATAGTAATTGGACAAATATTTTTGTAAGCGATACCCATACTATAATAGGCCATAGTTTTTTTTGGTAGTTTAAATAAAGTTAGTTAAACAACTTTTAATGTCTGAACCCACAGAAGAATGTAACAATTGGTGTTAGAAGTGAAATTATGTGAAAAAAGTTATTATAAGAATTAATATGGTAAAAGCAAGAGGCAAAACCAAGATTGAGAAAATTCAATACATAATTGCCGGAATGGAACAACGTCCTCTGGAACAAAAGAAAGCTGAAAGGCAAGAAGAGACACAAAAAAGACATGAAAAAAGAAATCGAAGAAACAAAAAAAGACATGATTTAAGAAGTTAAAGTATCAATTGCTCTAGTAGAAAAAAGACATGATAAGATAAAGAGAACTCTTAAACACTCCTGGCCAGTGTATAAAAGACAATTCGAAGCCGCTGCACAAAATAATAGATAGACATATGAACAGAAGGCAACAGCTTTTGAGACAGACAGTTTATTTGCCAATGGATTTCTCATTGGCCACAGATGAAGTTTTACCATCGATACTGGATCAACTGGGTCAGTAATGAGTAAACATTTCGTACACAAACTATTTATAAGGAAAATACGGATACGGACACAATAGCGACATCTGATAATAAAACCGTAAAATAGTTTCGAAACACAATTCAGATTTCTGCTTTAATCTGTGCTTTCTAACAATTGCAAAGCAAAACAGACGTTGATGAAGGTGTTAAAAGAGACATGGGGAATCTAAAATTTGCATTCCATGACATATGTTTTCAACTAGACAGAAATGCTTAGCGAATTGGTTTCTTGTACTCGTACAGAGTAGATACGAATAAAATTAAAAAGACAGCAAATATTTGATTTCACGCAAACAGCGCCTTTGTATCTGTTGATACGTATTTCGACCTAATAGGTCTCATCAGAACAGTTATTCAAAGGTGTTCTCAACGTGAACGATCAATATTTTCTGTCTTTTAAAAAGCAATACTAAAATGGCTTCGATACGGATGCAATAGCGACATCGGATAATAAAACTGTAAAATAGTTTCGAAACACAATTCAGATTTCCGGTTTAATCTGTGCTTTTTAAAAATTGCAAAGCAAAACAGACGTTGATAAAGGTGTTAAAAGTGTCTTTTAACACCTTTATCAACATCTGTTTTGCTTTAATCTGTGCTTTCTAAAAATTGCAAAGCAAAACAGACGTTGATGAAGGTGTGAAAAGTGTCTTTTTGCTTTGCAATTTTTAGAAAGCACAGATTAAAGCAGAAATCTGAATTGTGTTTCGAAACTATTTTACGGTTTTATATAATTGTGTCAATGCTTTCAATACTGTCTTTCCTCCTGATTTAACTGCCTCAATAACTATTTGGTCATCACTAGCTGCTTTATTGTTTTTCATTCGATTTAATGACTTTGAGACTTCTTTGATTGTTATTTCTGCGATATCCTCTGAACCCACATGCTGGACTTTTCTCAACTTGGTGCCGTCTTTCTTACCCCTTTCTCTATATAATTCTGTGTAAAATTCTTCAACTACCTTAATTATCTTATCTTTATCTTAACAATGTTCTTCTTACCTAGAGCTTGACTTTTCTTCAGCACCTTTAAACTTTTATTTTTCTCGACAACCAGAAGCTAGCATAAAGCTGGATCACTAATTCCTGTAGTAGCCTGTCTTCTACTGGGATTGTAGAAGAGTGCTACCTGCCACCTGAGTTTTATTCCAATACAGATTAGATTTAAGTATAATATCACACTTTCAATATTTTTACTTTTTAATTTATTTACAAGTTTTTTATCTTGAATCTTGTCAAATGCCTTTTCAAAATATACAAAACATAAGTATATATTCTGATTTATGTCCATGCACATCTAGACCAGCACATTCATGCCAAACAAAGCATCTCTTCTATTTTTCCATAGCAAATAGTGTGTCACTAATTTCATATTCAAGACATTTAACAATTCTGCTGTGTATTATTTACAAAAATGTTTGAAGTGTGTGACTTTATTATTAAAGTTGTTGTTTTATGATCTGAGTAAGTTGTTGCACTTGACGTTTTGGGTATTGCTACAAAAGTCGATTGTAGCCATTGTCTGGGATTGTTGCAGTCTATTAGATTAATGAGTTCAACCATAACATAAATAACATCTTCATTAATAAGTTTTTAACTTTGGTATGCACATCATCTGCTTCAGTAGCTTGACTCTCTTAAATGGCAGGTCTCTACTTTTATCATTAAATACTTTTTGGATGTAATTGTCCCAGTGACACAATTTCTCATTCACATTTGTAATAATGTTGTGGTGTAAATTTCTATATCCTGTCATTTCTTTGGTTTTTTTGTATAAATTAAAGCAATCTTTCTTTTGCCTCTCGTTGAAATGAAACTATTTTAGAAGATAAAATGCCTCTAATTTCAGTACTGATTGGCTGTACTGCCTTCTTGGAATAAGCTCAACCACCTACAATCTTCTCGCTTCTCTCAAACAAAATGTCAAAATTTACCTATTCTCTTCTCCATCTACCTCTGTTAAACCACGGTTGTAACCTTTTGATTGTTGATAAATTTTAAAATATTTTGGTCTATCCAGCGTTAACTGTTTTAGCTGTGACGTTGTATTTCCACGTGACTATGACTATTAAAATCACCTGTGACAATGTTGATAGCGTATATTTCAAAGTTTCTTCAGTTTTCCAATTTTAAATCTTTCATCAGAAGGTTTAAACACTACAGTGACAGTATCCAAACAAAGCTTCTTAATGTTTAAAATCTCAAATCTTCTCTTTTAAATCTGATTAAAATCACTAAGGTAGGTGTAGGTAATATGGCCATCCAACAAATGTCTTACTATTTTTATGTTTAAACGGTAGAACTCTTGATATTAGCATACTAATACACATTTAGTGCCGAAATTGTTAAACAGATGGTGCCACATTCTCTATACGTCAGAACCATACACCATTGTTGTGAAAACTCGTCATTGCAGAAGCTGGTTATTAATTTCGTAATTTTTAAAAAAATCTTAACTGAATCTAATAGGTAAGTTTTTAATATATTAATTGTACTTACATGTTTCGTATACCTTCAAAATCATGTACATGTTCTTATTTTATTGTATAAATTTTGATTTAATACATTTTTTCTTAGACAAAATATCAGTGTTGAGTAGTATGGCCAGGTGAGAAGTAGGGTTATATGGCCATGGCCATATTTATCTTACGTGACCATATTACTCTACAATGCATATTTTGTTTGCTGTATTGATATTATTTCTTTTATTACAGAAATAAAAAATGCCCCAGTATCAGCGCAGCGGCCTACGAGGCAACTGGACGGAAGAAAATTTGTCAGCAGCTTTAAGAGCGGTGAAAAATGGGACCGCAGTTAACACAGCTAGTCGTATATATCAAGTAAAGTCTTGCCTAGGACGAAAGACTATATTTACAAATGCCCAAGAAGCATAATTAGTTCAACGTATTATCCGTCTTTCGCAAATTGGATATCCACTTACTGCAAGGGTACTTTGTTAGTGTGTATATCGGTTTACAAAACTCAATAATATCCCAAATCCTTTTCAAGAAAGCAAAGGAATAGCTGGTCGTTATTGGCTACGTGGTTTTATGAAGTGCAATCCTCAAATCAGACCTAGGAAGGCACAAAACTTAAATCCGGCTAGGGCACAAAAGCTTAATAAATTTATTGTAAAAGATCATTTTACTAAGCTGAAAGGTATTTTAAGAGAAATGGACATACTTGATAAGAACGAACGGATATATAATGTAG